TTTTTTCGCACGTATACAGTGAATGGCCATTTCGCTCAGTAATCCCAGCCAGAATTTGGCTATTTTCTAAATATGCGTTAAAGTTTAAAATATTTGTTTTAGAACTGAAACACCTTAACTATTAGTCAATCCCAACGCTAAAAACATCAACAGAATTGAACAACCCTCGCAGACGCTGTCATTGAAGACAACGTCAATTCTATGAGTTGTAGATGTTATTTTTGTGAAAAATCATTGGAAGAAGAGAGAACATGTTGGGACTGTACGAATTATATAGTCTTTATGGGTGCAACGGACACGATGCTGAAGATAAACCTATTGTTTACAATGTTGACCTCATGACCCATTGACGCCAATGTCATGACCTGTGATGTGTAGATCACGTGATATGGATATCATGGCTACTGACTGGGTCTGAGATACTTCTCCGCAGGTAGCGTGTCTCAGATGTTCAGAATGCTCTATAGGGTCCACAAGCCAAAAACGTGATTTTTCGTACAAACAGGGGCCATAATCCATGAAGTTTCGATCCGATACATGCCAATATCGAAAGCAGCCGAGATCTTTTGGAGATACACCTATATTTCAAGTTTCGTTAAAATCGGATAAGAATTGTGACCTGTAGAGTGTCCACAAACAAATTGTGGACGGACGGACGGACAGACAGACAGACGTCCGGACGATCAGGGACGACGGCATAATACGTCCACATGAAAATGTTGGCGTATAAAAAGGTGCAACTCGTTTTTTTTCCATATTTAATTCCCGTACGGTATTGAAATTTCTGTCATTAGTATTCCTACAAAATTACGTATTGTCGTAATACTGCCGACCTGTACCGGTTTCAAATTCCTCCAAAAATTACTGTATATTTCAGGGTATAAGTAGATACATTTTTCAGCAGAAGGTAAAAAAAATAGCATCCCAAAATTTATTTGGCAGTGACAATCGTGATACCACGACGAGCGAGTGACATCAACTGCTAAAAAATCACAATCGACTATAGAACGCACTATCGTCTAAAACAATTAACTACTTACAGTATGCCAATCGAGATGTTCATCAACATTTGTGACCCGGTATGTCAAAATGAGTCAGAATGCACATTATCTAATTTTGAACTAGAGACCTAATTGAGATTTTACATAAAAGGGGTCTATAAATATATTATCTATCGACACAAAAGATCAAAATAGCAAAAAAAGATTTTTTAACACCTTTATTTGGATGTTTTTTGTAAGAGTACCGTATTCTTAAATCTGTCCTATTTCTTAAAATTCTCAGCGAAATTGGTTATTTTTCTTCGCTCGCAGTGGGACGACCGGTCATTCCTCTTGCATAATAATTGGCATTGTTCTAAAGCAGAGAATCTTTAGTTTACAAAATGAATCGGAATGCGCATTTTCTAATTTTGAACTAGAGACAAAATAAGTGAAAATATTGATTTTGATCGAAATAGAGATTTTCACAAAAATGAGTCTATAAATATACTATCGATCGACACAAAAGATCAAAATAGCAATAAAAGATTTTTGAACACCTTTATTTGGATTATGGTTACGTGGCTGGCTTGAGCGGACAATAGATATTTGGTTTTTGCGATAAAGTTTTTGGGTACCAATGTTTTCTGATAAGTGGCAGAAAAAAAAATTAATTCTGAAGGTATATAGATTACCGTTGAGCGTTAATTATAACCACGTCAAGGAATTATGTAAATTAATCGACAAGCGAGTGTGTCATTGAGTAATACTAATCAATAAGGCTGTGCAAAAATATCGATATAATCGATAATCGGTAGAAGTTATTTAGCGATACGATAATCGATATTGAAATTCAAATATCGATTATCGGTATATTTACCTTCTGACGGCAAGTTACGGTCACTTTCACATGACTGAACTTGCCGTAGTCTGGCATTAGCAGACGAATGAATGAATACACAACGTCAACACAACTATTTCCCCCCCCTCTGCTTACAAACTGCCACATTTTAAATATATATTATTGTAAAAAAACTAAACTTGAAGATTAAATACATTATTTTAATATTTTCGTTGTTTTTGTTGTTATTACTAGTTGAAACTAAAATAGGTCACGCACTTTGTGAACAATGACAATCGCACGTGATATATAGTAAAATTAGAATTATTTCCCTTCTTTGTTCTTGGTTGATTTGTAGAGAAATCGTCTGCTTTCACGATAAAACTAATTGTATTATTAATGATCAACTCAGCTTTTATTACTAAATCATGTCAGATACAGCCCATACAAAACATGTTTTTGACTTCCAGGGAAAATATCTATATCTCTCGTAATTTCGTGGAAGAATTCTACTTTGGTTTTCATCTAAATTAACCAATCATAAAAATTCTACTTTGAAAGCCCGTAATTATTTTTTTATTGTCCAATCAATAGACGCCTTCTATTTTATTTTATTCTATTAGTAGTAGTAACACTGTGTGATCGCCAGTCACTTGCAAAGAGAAACCATGTATTGTCTTTGTATTTATCAGAGATAAAAAAGGTTCAAATGAATCAAGAACAGAACTTAGAATAATACTCAAGTCAGTCCTACATTTAGCAACTAATTATTTTACATTAATTGATATTTTTACGTACATCGGCACAGTATTAGACTAGGATAATAACACTACTGTAACTCGATCAACACAAATAACAGGTCGGTAAAGTTCGAATTTTTCCGAAAAAAGATAATCGATTATTATCGATAATCGCTGACAAATTCTTGCCGATAATCGATATTGAAATTTCATATCGATTCCCAGCCTTACTAATCAACTGTCTCGGATCAATGATAAAGCCGTCGACAACTCATTATTTACTCCAAATAATTAATTCAAGCGGTGATTATTTGATATCTCGTTTCATCTTTAAAAAAATAATTTATAGGCCTTAAATGGAAATAAACAAAATGGCCAATAATTTACTTTTCGAAGAGAATTGTTTTGATAGCTGATTTCTGTTTACTGTCGCTTCTTCATACGGCATGCAAAAAATGTGTTGAAAAAACGAGACGGACCAACGTGCCGAAATGCAAAGATTCTCAAGTGGGAAAAACAGTCTGCCATTATCAATAACATCAAAACCAAAATAATCGAAAGTGAACGTATCATGTGAATATGCCGCATGCTTGAAATCCTAAATAAATAAAATATTAAACAGCAAAATAGCAAATAAATGGCAGAAATCGTCTGATCAAATTTTTACTACGATTTTCGTCTTCAGCACCCCTGAAAACCCCTGTAAAGATATATTCAACGATAAAGCAGCAAATAAATGGCCTGGTTGCTATGGGATTTTGTTTGGAACATATCAAAACTTTGACATGCTTTTGCTCAAAACTTTGGTGAGTTGGGTAGCTTTAAATGGACACAAATCAGTCATTTTTTGTCTGATTCAAACAAACTATAATATCAAATTGAAGGTACTGTGTTGCAGAATGTGAAAATAACAGTAACTCAATTTTCAAAATTTCCACCCTGCGACTCATTTTGCCATGACGGGACACATTTATTGATTTGTTCAAAAACATAAACGCCATTCTAAATATGATCATAAATCCGAGAATATGCCATCAATATAGAACCTTTTCTTCGACATTAGATGTGTAATGTTTTCATTTCCTAATTTCAAGCGATTTGCTAGATTTATACTCCTGTTTTAGTTATTTTACCATAATGTGTGAGAGTGAAATAGCTTTATTGCAGACAAGTTATCACATACAATGTATATTGATTTGGGATGTTATATACTATTAGTATATGTGACATATAAGACTAATTTCTATGTGTTGTCAGCCGACATGAAGGAGATTAAAACGTCCGACAATGTAGAAATCACGGGTTAATCACGTAGATCAAGTTATAACCATTCTTATTGGATTGATTTATAGTCTGACAAAGGAGAAGCAGTGACTTTTGTTTAAGATTAGATTGATGAATTGTCTGACAAAGGATCAAGTCAGTCAATCAAGGCAGATTAAGTAGTTAATCAAGGTAGGTGTATAGATGGTATAACACGATAAATACGTTGATCACTTAATTACCAAATCAATCCAGTCTATTATCAACGATAATCGGGTTGAGTGGTAGTTATACAATTAGTACACTATATCAATTTTGGAATTTTGAATATTTTTCACCATGTCTTGATGTCCGATTGGGTATATTCCTGGTCGGACAATTTAGGATGTCTGGAAAATAGCGTCGGACATGCAGGGATGTGCCTACGTCGGGCAGCGCCGGGCTCTTGCACCCAGCACAAAGAATAAATCGAAGAAAGCCGCCCAGTCGTATTTAAACCACGGCAAACCCATGGTAAAAGCCGACGCAAACCATGTCTGCCACGGCATAATTTATTTTTATGTGCCGTAGTAGACCCTATCATCCCAAATTAGTTTAAAGAAAGAAGTATTGGTATTTTGTTTATTTATATTTAGAAGTTGTGTAGGTCTATTCATTTTACAATTCTACGCTCTTTAAATTTGTATATATGCCGTAAATAGGTCACCCAGATCAATTTACGGCACTCCAATGTTAAAAGGTTTGGATGTCGTAAATGGTGTCATACTTTCGGTTTTACGATCAATTTTTAATGTACTCATTCTACCGAATCTAAACTAAATCCTAGAGGCAGCTGAGCTACAGTCCATTTTATTTACACTTGCCACAAAAAAATAAATTAGGCAGCAAAGCGAGTACTGTTTTACTTGTTCACTAATCACTAATAAGTATGAGAGGCTTTTGACTTTGAAACAGATGCAGCAGATGCTCTGAAAAAACACCAAGAAAGGTTGAATTGACACAAAAGACCACCCCCCCCCTCCAAAAAAAAAAAATTTCAGCGCTCTGCTCGGAAGCTATTTTTTCCACCACTCAGCAAATCCTGGGCACATCCCTGGACATGTCCAGAAAATACGGGCGAAATCCCATCACTGTTCTATATTATTCTGGAAATATATGAATCAAGAAAATAATTACCAGAACTATTAAGTTGATAATCCCATGGTACAACAGTAACCGATGCTCCTCTCTTACATAAACATCTTATTTGATTATATTTAATACCACAATCTACAGCCACTATCTTTAACTTTCCTTCTTTATTATATACAACAGGCACCTACAGAGAATGCATACATTACAGATTATCAATATTTGATAAGTTTTCTTATACACCAAATTGACAACAAAACTAGCACCATAAAGTTTTATCGCTCTTTATACACGATTGCTCTTTATTGTTCATAAAGAATATGTTTTACTTAGAATAAATCTACTAGTACTTTCTAGCTTAAAAATATGATTTTTTTTCCTCAAAAAAACATAATTCTGATACTAACTTATGTGTATTTTCTTGAATATTTTCAAATTCAGAATCATTACTACTGACAAGCAACGCTCACGCTGTCGATCGCCATTTCCGCCAATTCTGATAAAGATATAATTTTGGCGATAAAATATTCAATCTGACGAAACTTTTGGCAGTAACTTTTTCCTGTATGACGATAAATTTTTCTTGCCAAATAACTTTGTTGTCCACGCCGTGTATCTCTTACAGTCTAGTGCGTTGGCTGAGCCAGTTATCAATCAATTAGGTATTAATAATAGGACTATCTAAAAGCTAAAAAGAAAGTGATTTTTCCTACAATCAAGGGCCATAATTCAGGAAATTACAATTCGATATGCGCAAATATCGAAAGGAACCAAGGTCTTTGGGTTATAAACTTACATTTCAAGTTTCAACAAAATCGGATAAAAATTGTGACCTCTATAGGGTCCACAACCTTGATATACCATATTTTTACGCTATTTGAGAACGAGGGGCGGCCATTTTGTCTATCAGTTTTGGACCGATTTTCACGAAATTCGAACAGAGCCGTCCTTAGGGTGTAACGGTGATATAATGATACGTTTTTTTTTAAATCTGATAAAAATTATGACCTCTATAGGGTCCACAAGGTAAAAATTTGATTTTTCGTACAATCAGGGGCCATAATTCAGGAAGTTACGGTCCGATATGCGCGAATATCAAAAGGAACCACGATCTTTGGGTTATAAACTTACATTTCCAGTTACCTCTATAGGGTCCACAACCTTGATATACCATATTTTTACGCTATTTGAGAACGAGGGCCAGCCATTTTGTCTGTCAGTTTTGGGCCGATTTGCGCGAATATCGAAAGGAACCACGATCTTTGGGTTATAAACTTACATTTTCAACAAAATCGGATAAAAATTGAGACCTCTATAGGGTCCACAACCTTGATATACCACATTTTTACGCTATTTGAGAACGAGGGCCGGCCATTTTGTCTGTCAGTTTTGGGCCGATTTTCACTAAATTTGAACTCAGCCATCCTTAGGGTGTAACGGTGATATAATAATACGTTTTTTTAAATCGGATAAAAATTATGACCTCTATAGGCTCCGCAAGCTAAAAATGCAATTTTTCGTACAATCAGGGGCCATAATTCAGGAAGTTACGGTCCGATATGCGCGAATATCAAAAGGAACCGAGATTGTTGAGTTATAAACTTACATTTCAATTTTCAACAAAATCGGATAAAAATTGAGACCTCTATAGGGTCCACAACCTTGATATACCATATTTTTATGCTATTTGAGAACGAACGGCTGCCATTTTGTCTGTCAGTTTTGGGCCGATTTTCACGAAATTCGATCTCAGCCGTCCTTAGGGTGTAACGGTGATATAATAATACGTTTTTTTAAATCAGATTAAAATTATGACCTCTATAGGGTCCACAAGCTAAAAACGCGATTTTTCGTACAATCGGGTCATAATTCAGGAAGTTACGTTCCGATATGACGAATATCGAAAGAAACCGAGATCTTTGGGTTATAAGCATACATTTCAAGTTTAAACCAAATCGGATAAAAATTGTGACCTCTACAGTGTTCACAAGCTAAAAAACGTGATTTTTCGTACAATCAGGGGCCATAATCCATGAAGTTACAGTCCAATAAATGCCAATATCGAAAGGAACCGAGATCTTAGGGTGATAAACCTATATTTCAAGTTTCATTGAAATCGGATAAAAATTGTGACCTGTAGACTGTTCACAAACAATTGTCCGGACGGACGGACAGGGGCGACGACAATATATGTCCACATGAAAATGTGGGCGTATAAAAATAACCATTTGCAAAGCAGAGAAGAATTTTGTAAATTGTAACATCATATGTATAACGGTATGTATTTATATTGAGAGTACAAATGTAGTAACAATTACTGATTATTAATTATGATTATTGTTTTTGGCGGAAAAAATATATTGGCGGAAGAAAAATGGAACCCAGAGTGAAAACTCTTGACAAGTCAGAAATTGTCCCCCCAAAGTTACAGAGACTACAAAATATTATTTCCTATTATAGACAAAACATTTTATCATAGGATGGTATATGGTAATACCTTTAATGAAACTTCTGCCACCAAATTAATTAAATTAATATCAGTCATCTTAATGCTATCTGGATTTTCACTGTCCACAATCACCTGAAATATAAACGTCACTACGTGTAATATATAAAATTCATAATATATTTTTTTTCAAATTGAAATTTACAATAATTTGTTTGTTAGTTTTGATATATAAGGCTAAGGCTTAACTTTACTTAGGATAAAACTTTGTCTATTTCATTGAATGAAAATACCTATTCCATCAGTCTTACTAATTCTAGCAGCATTTACCTTTCCCAGCATTGTTCCCTTTACTCGAATTTTTTTGGTTAAAGCTCTAGTATCAACACCTGAAATTATATAAGTTTATCAGAATTTGATTATTTGTTTTTGTCTTCTAGTCTATGATATTTCATAATCTATATATGTAATTCCAAGCATCAAATCAGAATTTTAGAAGGATTGTCTGATTTTCTTCCAGAATGAACTATTTGTAACAGACTGTTATTGTATATCTCAGAATCTATAAAAAAAATTAACCAATATATTCATTACTGTACCCCAAATAGCCGGTATATTTTGGTCTTCTAGCCATGTTGATAGAGATTGTATGGCACTCCAATGGCTGTACTTTTCAGTCAAATCTCCAATAATGAGTGCTGCTGCATGTATTTCATTTGATTCAAACCAATGCTTTAAACCATATTTGTCTTTTTCTTCCGCAGGAATGCCATAATTGCCTATCAATGGATAGGTTAAAACTAAGATCTGTCTTTTATAAGACGGATCCGTCAGAGATTCTGGATAGCCAACCATTCCTGTCTGAAAAACTGAAAATAAAACATTCTATTTAATAAACTTTAATAAAGCTGCGTAAAAAGTCACATGGAAAAAAAATCACTTAGTAAATAATAAGCCAACAGTAAGGCTGATCCCGCTGATGTCACCCACCGAAATCCCAAAATAAATAGATGACACATATTAATCAATTGCATGTTTATGTTTTACAAAAGTATCAAGCAATCAAACTGATTATCTATACTAAGTCTAAGCATAAAATGTTCACAACCAAACTCAGTCAAGGTTTTTAAGTACTTGGCAGTGAAAGTATACACTAAGTTTTAAAATCACTCTCCATCAGTAAGAATCAAAGCAATCTTGTCAAAAAGCATTGACCAATAATATTGACTAGCTCTGTTTAGCTTTAGCAGGAAAGGTTAATCACTGTACTCAGTCAAAACATTCACCTAATGAATATCTACATCATTTTTAACCATTCCATCTTAATTAAAAGCAGAGTTGCTATGTTCAAAAGTCTTGATCAATCAAATAACTTATCGCTACATACACCAAGTTTCATCACTCTCACTTAAGCAGAACTAAAGTTATTGCGTCCCAACTTAGCCAAGCTAATTGATGTAATGAAACTATACACCAAGTTTCATCACTCTCACTTAAGTAGAACTAAAGTTATTGTGTCCCAAAGCACCAACCAATCAAATTGCTTATCTCTACTTATCAAAGCAGAAAATAGCCATTTCCGAACACCAGCAAGGCATCATTCACCTGATAAACACCTATGTACACAAAGTTTGAACATTCTAGCTCAATTAGGAGGAGAGTTTTTTTGTACCATACCCATTTTAATAGTGCCCTGCTTTTTTCGAATGGCGGTGGACAATTATTGATAGATGTTTTGATAAGGCATAAAGCATGTTCTCTTGATTGTCGTGCTCCACATTCAATGATTAATTTTAAACTAGGGTTTGTACATTTTCCAAATTAGATACCGGTACTTAACCCCATTAAACCAGCGGTCGCCACGCAAGATACGCCAACATTTTGCAGAAGATGGATATAGATCAAGCTAAAATCAAAAGTGATTACGTAAAATCAGGGGCCATAAATGCGCAAATATATCGAAAGGGACCGAGATCTTTGGGATATAAAGATATATTTTAAGTACTAGCGGGTTGACAACGTTTGTATTACATACTTTTACACAATTTGCATACAAAGAGCGGCCATTTTGTCGGGCAATTTCATTTCAATTTTGCCGAAATTAGAATTCAATTTTCATTACGGTGGAATATGGTGATATGTTTAAACAGTTTTTAAAATCGGACAAAAACTTGTGACCTCTGGAGAATCCACAAGCTAATAGCAAAAAGAACTGAGATCTTTGGAACATAAACATCTATTTTATCTGATAACAACTGTGACTTCTAGAGGGTCCACAACCATGGTATGTACATTATTTGCGTACAAAGAGCTGCCATTTTGTCTGGCAGTTTTGGTCCGATTTTCACGAAATTGGAACTCAACCGTCATTACAGTGTAACAGTGATAAATCTAAACATTTTTTTTAAAACTGTGACCTGTAGAGGGTCCACAAGCTAAAAAAAGTGATTTTTCGTATAATCAGAGGCCATAATTCTGGAAGTTACAGTCTGATATGCGCAAATATTAAAAGAAACCACGATCTTGGATTATAAACATACATTTCAAGTTTAATCAAAATCAGATTAGAGTGTCCACAACCTTGGTATTACATATTTTTACACTATTTGCATACAAGGAGCAGGCATTTTGTCTGGCAGATTTTTACGAAATTTGATCTCAACCTTCATTGATGTGTAACAGTAAATTTTAACGGTTTTTAAAATTGAATACAAATTGTGATTTCTAGCAGCTCCACAAGCTAAAAATGTGATATTCGAACAATCAAGGGCCATAATCCAGGAAGTTACATTTGACTATGGGCGATTATCAAAAGGAACCAAGATCTTTGTGATATAAACATAAATTTAAAGATGGGTTCCCAGAAAAGTATTTATCGGGTGGTTATTTCCAATAAAAGTATGGCAATTTTGGTATATATGGAAAGTAGAGATATCCAATCTTACTAGAAAAATACTGGATTCCCCGAAAAACATTCATGGAGCGTATACAGGACAAAAATGTAAGGGTTCCCCTAATCAACAGCCCGACGCGTGATGTCAAAGGTCACAAGCGAACATTGAGCGCTTGATGTACAAGTTGATAAACTTTATGAAGAGTTAGACGTACAATACTTTCTGAGATAAAAATGACAGAAAAAGACGCAGGTAGTGGATAATCCGAGAATTTAATTAGGATTCGATATTTGTAATAAATAGTAAGCGATTAAAGACAACAACGTCTTATGTATGCAATGAATTCTCCTCTTACTTCCAAGACGTGACGTAAACATGACCTGGTTTGATCAAATTTTAATAGCAGGGCATTCCTTGCAATTACAATGTTTGAGAAGGATTTGAAGCATAACTATGACAAATTAATTAGTTTGAATATGTTTTTGGTCCATATATACCATTAAATCACCCAGTTTGTACGCGGGAACCCATCTTTAAAGTTTCATCAAAATTGGAGCAAAATTGTGGCCTCTAGAGAGTACACAACCTGGATATACCATATTTTTACACTATTTGCGTACGAGGGGTGGCCATTTTGTCCGGTAGTTTTGGTCCAAACTCGACCAGCATTACAGTGTAACGGAGATATATTAGATCAGATAATAATTGTGGCCTCTAGAGGAACCACAAGCTAAAAACGTGATTTCTCGTACAATCAGGGGCCATAATTCAGGAATTTACGACTCGATGAGCGTGAATATCGAAAAGAACCAAGATCTTTGGGTCATAAACATGCAATACAAGTTTCATCAAAATCAAATGAAAATTGTGACCTCTAGACCTCATGATTTTTCGTACAATCAGGGGCCATAATCCATGAAGTTATGATCCGATACATGCCAATATCGAAAGGAACCAAGATCTTTGGGAGATAGTTCTATATTTCACGTTTCGTCAAAGTCGGATAAAAATCGTGACGTGTAGATTATGTGTCCACAAACAAATTGTGGACGGACGGACAGACAGGGGAAACGGTATAATACGTCCATACGAAAATGTGGGCATATCAAAACAAATCCCTAAACACAAATTATTTCAACCCTTTAGCACTTGGTGCACGTAAAGGATGTCTGGTTCCCATGTCAGTCAATTTGATTGACAGTTTGATGTACAGCTTTGACATTATGCATTGTAGTGGCTAAAATCTTCCTCTAAAATCTTTGTTAAGGATCGCTTCCTACTGCTCAAGACCCTTACACGTTAAGATAATTATTGAAATAAAATTGAGCTATATGTTAGTCTCAAAATTACATAGTTTGCTTTAGAGTGGCGTCTCTTTCTCTCTTTCTCTTCAAAGATTTTGTATCATTTTTTTAATTAATTTCCATATTCGGCCGCGCTGTGTAATGATTCATTTTCTAATGTTTGAAAGAAATTTAAGAGTTTATTTGATTAAATTTCCATAAAATAAATGATATTTCAGCGAGTGTCTTACAGATACATTATGGGAGATTAGATAAAGAGCTGGTAGTTCTCACTATAATAGTTAACCAGCGGCTGCCAGGCAGGATACGCCCACATTTTTCAAGTGATGGATAGAGAACAAGCTAAACAAAAAGCGATTTTTCTTAACATCAAGGGCCATAATTCAGGAATGTACGATCAGATATCGAAAGCAACCAAGATCTTTGAGTTATAAACATGCATTTCAAGTTTCATCAAAATCAGATCAAAATTGTGGCCTCTAGAGGGTCCACAACCCTGATATACCATATTTTTACACCATTCGCGTACAAGCGGCGGCCATTTTGTCCGGCAGTTTTGGTCCGATTTGCACGAAATTCTATGTCAACCTTCCTTACGGTGTAATGGTGATATAATCAAACGTTTTTTAAAATCGGATAATAATTGGAACCTCCAGAGGGACCACAACCTAAAAAAGGCAATTTTTATATAATCAGGGGGCATAATTCAGGATGTTACGATCCGATATGCGCAAATATCGAAAGGATTCAAGATCTTTGGGTTAAAAACATGCATTTCAATTTTCATCAAAATCCATTTAAAATTGTGACCTCTATAGGGTCCACAAGCTACAAACGTGATTTTTCGTACAATCAGGGGCCATAATCCATGAAGTTTCGATCCGATACATACCAATATCGAAAGCAACCGAGATATTTTGGAGATAAAACCTATATTTCAAGTTTCGTCAAAATCGGATAAGAATTGTGACCTGTGAGTGTCCACAAACAATTGTGGACGGACGGGCGGGGGCGACGACAATATATGTCCACATGAAAATTAGTTAAACCGAAAAACCGCACGGTATCGGTTTTTACATATAAACCAAAAACTGAACCGATAAAACAAAAAAATAACCGTGCATTTCGGTTTACTTTTTCCAAATTCTAAAAGTAAAATGTCTCCATGGCTTGCTTACTATGGAAGATTAGATGACACAAAATGTAGATGTAATCTTTGTAAAAAACATATTTCTGCTGCATCTTTTTTTTACAGTAACTTTATTATTATGTTGTGTTTGACAAAGTTTGTCAGATCTTTTTTTACAGTAACTTTGTTTTTACTAGTCATAATTAAGGTCATATAACAGTAAAAAAAAACTTGTTTACAATTTACATCAATATGTTTGATATCTTTTCTAGCTTCCAAGTATTCCTATAAAATAACCATAAATCAGCACTTTCATAATACAGTGTTTAAATGAATAAAAAAAACAGAAACCAAAACCAAGGTTTTTTGCCACAGAAAAACTGAAACCGAAAGAAAATTTAAAAACCGCACATCACTAATGAAAATGTGGGCGTATAAAAATTGTAACCGCTATAGGGTCCACAAGCTAAAAAAGTTATTTTTCGTACAATCAGGGGCCATAATGAATTTCAAGTTTCGTCAAAATCAGATAAGAATTGTGACCTGTATTGTGTCCACAAACAAATTGTGGATGGACGTCGAGACAGACGGACAGACAGACAGGGGCGACGGCAATATACGCCACATGAAAATGTGGGCATATAAAAATAGAGAGTAGCACCCACACCTTATGGCCTTTAGAGATCGTTCAATACGATATGGACACGGGCAACGACAATATACGTCCACATGAAAATGTGGGCGTATAAAAACTAGATACTGTAAATGGAATTTGCTGAAAATTTCAGTCTAATTGATCCACTATGAACCAAGATTTTAGCGATTGAATTATCGGCCTAGCCTCAATTATCTTTACTAAAATGGGTACAATAAAAAACATAGTCTCGATTATCCATTTCATGATTAAAGGTGGGCATATAAAAATAGAGAGTAGCACCCACGCCTTATGGCCTTTAGAGATCGTTCAATACGATACGGACACGGGCGACGACAATATACGTCCACATGAAAATGTGGGCGTATAAAAACTAGCCTCAATTATCATTACTAAAATGGGTACAATAAAAAACATAGTCTCGATTAATCATTTCATGATTAAATTATGAATGGAAGTCGAACAGCAAATTGGAACCCAATTCAATAAACATCGAAGGCTAGCGATGCCATCGAGAGTTGATTATGGTCTGAATAAGTTAATTAATGTCTAATTAATAATTTAAATAACATACCCGGCCTCAAGAAAGACCTGCAATAGGCAGATTTAGCTCTTGCATAATGTATGTATAAAGATACATTATGTTAGATTTAGATAAAGAGGTAGCCATTCTTGCTATAATAGTTCGACAATAGATAATAGATAATGTAAAATTAATAATTTAAAAATTTCATTCAAATTACTCTATTGCGAGCGAAGATATTAGCCTTTGAAGGTTTGACAAGACGTGTGCAATAATTTCAACCACCGTACTGGCTGTTCGAAGCTAAGTCTCGCTCCTCCATTTTTAGTTTAAATCAAAATATGGCTGTACTGTTCTAATCTATTTAATATCGAAGAAGTCTGATGCCATCAACGAGTAGGAGATTTTATTTATCACCCAATCCCTTCTTACATGCACAAATAGATAAATATAATTCTTTGCTGTAGATTTACTGAACTTTACTGCGTAGTGATACATCATTTTTTGACAGCAATTCAACCTTTGCAAAGTCCTTTTTATTGACCCAGTGTTTCCATCAAGGTCAATTGAATAAAAATAGTTCATTTTTAATAAAAAAAAAAAAAGTTACTTTTAATAAGAAATGAACTGTTCTTTGAAAATAAAAAAAGTAGTTCCTTTTCAACTGACCAATCAAATTCATGTAAAGCGATATCTCCTCAGGAGATTATGAAATATATCACACAAGCGATATCTACTGTAGAATGTATTATTGGGTGATAAATAAATGATATCTGAATGACTGTTTACATATATTAAGAATATTATCCTATATATCCAAGAAATAGTGATGTTCATCAACCTACATTACATATAGAACCCAATCGGCCTTGCTATGCAGTTAGTCTTTTTCTTATGTTTGAAAGATTTGGGGGTATTTTTTCAATTAATTTTCATAAAATAAATGATATTTGACTGAGCGTTTTACGTATATTAAGAATATTATCCTATATATTCCAGAAATAGTGGATTTCTAATGTTTGAAAGATTTTGGAGTATTTTTTTAATTAATTTTCAATAAATAAATGATATTTGAATGAGTGTTTTACATACATTAAGAATATATATATCCTAGAAAAAATAGCAATTCATTACCATCTCATACAGAACCGAATCGGACCTGCTGTGCAGTGAATCATTTTCTAATGTTTGAAAGATTTTGGGATATTTTTTTTATTCTTTTCATAAAAATTAAAATAAATGATATTTGAGTGATTGTTTTACGTATTTTAAGAATATTATCCTATATTCCCAGATATAGGGAAATTAGTCGCCCTATATCATCTATAGAATCGTATCGGCCTCGCTGTGCAATGAGTCTTTTTCTTGTGTTTGAAGGATTCTGAAGCATTTATTTGAATTAATTTTCATAGCAAAGTAATATTTGAGTGATTTTATCATATAAATTAAAAATATTATCTAATATATCCCAGAATTGGGTGAATTCCTCGCTCTATGAGCAGTGAGTCATTTTTTAATGCTTGAAATTTTCTTCAGTGATTTTTATCAATTAATTTTTATAAAATAAACGATATTTGAGTGAGTGTTTTACATAAATATATTAAGAATATTATCCTATATTCATCAAAATAGGGAAATTCATCTCCCTATATCACATATAGAATCCAATCGGCCTCACTTTGCAGTGAGACTTTTTCTTCTAATTCTGATGTTTGAAAGATTTTAAAGAATTTATTTTCTTTGAATTAATTTTCATATAGAAAAATAATATTTGTGTGATTTTATTATTCTAAATATTAAGAATATTATCTCCGCAATATCCCAGAAATAGTGTAAACTAAAAGGTCGGTAAAATGCAATGTTGTTATTGATCGATTCGGCTTACATTTGATCTGATGTCATCGCTAGTCCCCCTTAACATCCCCTAATAAAATTTGAAGTCACTAAGACCGCGGGAACTGGTAGAGGTGCGAAAGTTCACTATACTAGCGGCGCGTCTCTCAGACGTGACGTCACCACTGACCTCAGTATTGTGCATTACCTACTTCGCCAGCAACACTGACCGGCGCGCCAAAAGATGTTCCAGAAAAGCTGGAACCATCCTCCAAAAATAAAGTTGATCGTTTTGCGGTAGTCATTTTGTTGATGTCCACTTTACACTCGCCGGACTACTCTTTATCTTCTGTAAAAGTTGTTTCCTGGGCTTGTCTTGATCAATCAGTTTGAGTTTGTTTCAGCGAATCGAATGGAGATGCCGATTTCTCACTTCAAATTTCCCACGACTGTTTTAGATCAAATTGTTTATATTCTGAAAATAAAAATATTGTTATATTTAGTTACTATTATCTTCTCTGGACATTAGGGAAATTGTGAGCCTGGACATTGTTTTGATCTTTACCAAATTATCATTTTCTTCTGCACCCTAATGAAAACAAACACGTGCAATGGAGGCCGCCGCCATATTCATTTGGCGAAGGGGCGTAACTACTATGGTGTTCTATTTCGGCCACTTCCCGCGTCGCCTTTTAAAAAAAAGCGACGTCGACTTTTTAACACGACGTCACCCTTTATAAAGCGACACGTCGCCCTTTGGGTCGCGCGTCGCTTTTCAAATTTATTTATAGACTGACTTCCTTAGTCATTATTAAAATTTTACATTTTTTAAATGTAGTAGGCTAACTACAATAATTCTTAAATATGCAGCTGCATTTTTGTAAGTTTTTTGGTTTTGTTTTCATTATAAATTATTATTTGACATTTATATCCTAATATAATGTTTTTCTCAGAAATTTTGTACCGGTACTGGTATCTGACTTATTTTCCCATAATTTCATTCAATGGTTATAGACAAGTCTAGTACAGAAGTGAACGTACTCTTGGATTCTTTCAACATCGGTCTTAATATGATTTCTTCAGGGTTGCTAATATATTCGTCGTAGGATACCAAAACAAAAAAAGGTCAGCTTTGTAAATAACGGAAATCATACCCACAGCGTTATCAGTAGTCTCTATATAGGCCTACTGTGCATGACTAGGCTATCAGAAAGCACGAGGTCACTCATTTACACTAAAGTTTACGGTTTTAAGTTTAGAACAGAACTTTGAAATAACATATAATCTGGATGTTATAGAAATGTCTTGTTAGATAAAGGATATTATTGGCAGTTTTACTACATGATTGTCTCTAAATTGCTGGTTATCTGTAAAGATAGAACATAAAAGAATATAATATGATGATATTTACATGGTTATACATGGTTATACGAACAATAAAATATATAAAACAATCAAATGTATTCTAAATTACTTTATGTAAGATTTAGATAATGGTTTTGGGTGGAATCGGCCTGAACCAGAGAGTAGGTCCTGTCTTGTTCCAAAATCTTGGTCCAGGAAGAGGAGGCGGCATCACAACAGTGCGCTACATCGATCAGGCACTCAGACCCCACGTCATATAAATCGAACAATAATAATAATAATAATACCACATTTCGCACGTTATCGAAACGTTTTCCAGCATGACAACGCCCGTGTCCACACCGCCAGAATTACTCGGGACTTTCTACAGCAGAACGATGTAAACGTTATGCACTGGCCAGCCCTTAGTCCGGACTTAAACCCGATTGAACAGCCTTGGGATAAAATTCAGAGGAGACTTAATAACGTCGTACCGAGACCAAACACAGCCGATGGATTGCGCCAGGCTATTCTGAGAGTGTGGTTCTAGTTCCCAATGGCGTTCATCAATCGTCTGGTCCACTCCATGTACAGACGCTGCGCTTCTGTTATTAACACTCGGACACACCAAATACGGATGTGTAGACTGTGTACAGACTCTAAACCTTCTCGTAATGTCTTGGAATTGTGATGAATTAATCACTAATGTGTCAACATACTGTTCACAAAAAATTGCTTTGATCCATTAAGTAAGTCGTTTTCTAGAATGATTTGATTAAAGTGTCTCTCTGATTTTGAAATCGTACTGACGTTTTTTTTGTTTGTTTTTTTTTTTTGGGGGGGGGGGGGTCGTTTTTTTTGTTTTTGTTGGGGTTTTTTGCTGTTTAGTATACACAATGTATTTGTTTCCATTTTCATATTAAAGGTTTTCAAAACATTTTTTTTTAAAAAAAAAAACAAAAAAAAAACTAGTATGCGACATCACCTCGGTGGCAGCGAACACCATAGTCGGTTTACAGTCCCCAGATCCGTGACCATTTTTTGGGGAACAAGTTTTGACGATGGTTTCTGATAGAAGGAATCCTAGTGAAGATATTTGGAGGTTGCTACCGCTGAAAACTACCGGCTAACTCCAAAACATCAACCAATCAGATTGCTTATATCTGCTTACCGTAAGCAGACAATGTTTATCATCGAACTCCATCAAGGCGTTCATTGGGTCAAGGCATTCATCCAATGAACGCCTACACCAAGTTTGAACATTCTACCTCAATTAGGAGAGATATTGTGTTCCAAAGTATCGACCAATCAAATTGCTTATTGCGCTGCTTCTGAGCAGAAAATGCTCACTATCGAACTTAGTCAAGGTATTGACGTGATAAAACTATACACCAAGTGTCCTCACTAACACTTAATTAGAACTACATGTAAAGTTATCGTGTCCAAAAGTATCAACCAATCAAATTGATTATCTCTGCTTAGCCTAAGCAGAAAATTCTCAATTTCGACCTAATAAACACCTACCCCCAGTTTGAACCATCTAGTTCAATTAGAAGGAGAGTAATTGTGTTCCAAAGTCTCGGCCAATCAAATTGCTTATCGCTCTGCTTACCCTGGGAAGATAATGCTCATTATCGAACTTAGTCAAGGTATTGATGTAATAAAACTATGCACCAAGTTTCATCCCTCTCGCTTAATTAGAACTAAAGTTATCGTTTCCCAGAGCATCAGCCAATCAAATTGCTTATCTCTGCTTATCCGAAGCAGAAAATGCTCATCTTCGAACTCCATCAAGGCATTCACCTAATAGACACATGCCAAGTGTGAACATTTTAACTCAATTAGAATGATAGAATGAGAGTTATTGTGTTCCAAAGTCTCGGCCAATCAATTTGCTTATCGGCATCGCTCTGCTTACCCTGAGCAAGAAAATGCTCATTATCGAACTTAGTCAAGGTATTGATGTAATGAAACTATACACCAAGTTTCATCACTCTCACTTAATTAAAGCATCAACCAATAAATTGCTTATCTTTGCTTACCCTAAGCAGAAAATGCTTAGGCATTGACCTAATAAACCCACACACCAAGTTTGAACATTCTCGCTCAATTAAAAGGAGAGTTATTGTGTCCCAAAAAGTGTGACGGACAGACAGACAGACGGACGAACCATTTTAATAGTCCCCTGCTTTCTTCTAAAGGCGAGGAACAAAAATATACAATGAATACTAACATCGGGTCGTAATTCACCCTTCTACAATAGACGTTTAACATTGGTCATTTTTTTTTTGAAGACATGTGAAGGATTTGGAGACTTTTATTTGATGTTTTTTTACGCTTAAAGTTACATTATGGGAGATTCGATAACGAGTTGACTACTATAATAGTTAACCAGCGGCTGCCAGGCAGGATACGCCCACATTTTCGAGAGATGGACAGAAAACAAGCTAAAACGAAAGTGATTTTTCCTATAATCAAGGGCCATAATTCAGGAAATTGCAATTCGATATGCGCAACTATCGAAAGGAACCAAGATCTTTGAGTTATAAACTTACATTTCAAGTTTCAACAAAATCGGATAAAAATTGTGACCTCTATAGGTCCACAACCTTGATATACCATATTTTTACGCTATTTGGGAACGAACGGCGGCCATTTTGTCTGTCAGTTTTGGGCCGATTTTCACGAAATTCGAACTCAGCTGTCCTTATGGTGTAACGGTGATATACTAACACGGTTTTTTAAATCGGATAAAAATTATGACCTCTATAGGGTCCACAAGCCAAAAAACGTGTTTTTGCGTACAATCAGGGGCCATAATTCATGAAGTTACGGTCCGATATGCGCGAATATCGAAAGGAACCAAGATCTTTGTGTTATAAACTTACATTTCAAGTTTCATCAAAATCAGATCAAAATTGTGGCCTCGATAGGGTCTACAACCTTGATATACCATATTTTTACGCTATTTGAGAACGAACGGCGGCCATTTTGTCTGTCAGTTTTGGGCCGATTTTCACGAAATTCGAACTCAACCGTCCTTAGGGTTTAACGGTGATATAATAATACGGTTTTTTAAATCGGATAAAAATTATGACCTCTATAGGGTCCACAAGCCAAAAAACGCGTTTTTACGTACAATCAGGGGCCATAATTCAGGAATATCGAAAGGAACCGAGATCTTCGGGTTATAAACTTACATTTCAAGTTTCAACAAAATCGGATAAACATTGTGACCTCTACAGTGTTCACAAGCCAAAAACGTGATTTTTCGTACAATCAGGGGCCATAATCCATGAAGTTACGGTCCGATAGACGCCAATATCGTAAGGAACCGAGATCTTAGGGCGATAAACCTATATTTCAAGTTTCATTGAAATCGGATAAAAATTGTGACCTGTAGACTGTTCACAAACAATTGTGGACGGACGGACGTCCGGACGTCCAGACGGACGCACGGACGGACGGACAGGGGCGACGGCAATATACGTCCACATGAAAATGTGGGCGTATAAAAACTAGATAATGTAAAGGCAATTTGCTGAAAATTTCATTCAAATTGATCCACTATGAACCGAGAACTAAGCGATTGAAATTTCCGCCTAGCCTCGATCATCATTACTAAAGTCAGTACGATAAACAGCACAGTCTCGATTATCCATTTAATTGTTAAATCGTGAAGGAAAGTTAAGCAGTAAATCGGCTCATAATCCACTAAAGATCGCAGGCCAGCGGTGCCATCTAGAGTTGATTATGGTCTGGATAGGTTAATTAATGTCTAATTAACAATTTAGATAACATTTCAGGCATAAAGAAAGACCTGCAATAGACAGATTTAGCTCTTGCATAATGTATTTTTAAGTCAATATTAAAGATACATTATGGGAGATCAGATAAAGAGCTGGCAGTTCTCACTATTTTGGCCTAGCCTCGATCATCATTACTAAAGTCGGTACGATAAACAAAATAGTCTCGATTATCCATTTCATGATTAAATCATGAATGGAAGTTGAGCAGCAAATCGGATGCTAATCCAGTAAATATCACAGGCTAGCGATGACATCGAGAGTTGATTATGGTCTAGACAAGTTAATTAATGTCTAATTAATAATTTAGATAACATTTCAGGCTTAGAGAAAGAGCTGCAATAGGCAGATCTAGCTCTTGCATAATGTATATTTAATATTTATTTACTGTTGATCTGTATTCTATTACTGCTCTAACAATTTTTTTTTAATTTTTTTTTTTACACGTGTAAGTCAATATTAATATTTATTTACTATTAATCTGTAT